ATTAAGAAAAATGTTAGAATAGTAAATTCATGTGTGTTGCTTTATCTTGTATGTTTTTGGGCTTTAAATATGTTAATATTGTCAATAAAAAATCCTAAATTAGTTAACACTGATGAATCAGTGGAAACAGGACATCAGTTCTGCATTTGATGAGATCCTGTAAGTCCTTCTCTAAGATGTGTGAGGCTCCAGCTAACTGTATTTTCATATGTTGATTTTAAAATATTAGGAAACACATGGGGCCATGCAAAATAAAGTGAGTTATTAGTGAGCGTTTAGAAAAACAGGGAAGAAGTACTGTGTATGTGTTACAGTTCAACAGACAAAAGAAGATTCATAAGGGTCAGGCACCGTCTCTTTCCCTCTCCACTATTTCCTGGGGTTCCTGTCATCAACCACACCATTCCTAAATAATCATGTACGCCCTAGACATGAAGACAACGTAGCAATCGTGTTTTATTTACAATGCATGCCTCTTTAAAACTGGTTTGTGACTTACATTTCCCTAATGCCACTTTTAAAATTCTGAATAATGCATTAAAATGTAAATGTATTTTAAAATGCATCACACACACACACACACACGAATGCATGATATAGCATCATCCACCATGGCCCATGAATGGTGATTTCCAGTGATTCTCTCTAAAGTCTCAAAAGTCTCTCACTGTCCTCCATTGACCATAATGCATTTCCTACTCAAATAATGTAGGAAAATTCCATCAAAAGAAAAAAAAAAAAAAAGAATGTAAGAAAATAAAGACAATCACTTGTTTTCTGGTTGTGTTGCAGTTAACATTTGGAATTCTACTGCATAAAGATAGGACATTACATCTTCCAGCTTTGCCTTCTCTTGAACTCTTTAGGTGAAATCAGCACATTCCTAAAACAGTGTCTTTTTCAGTGTTAACAGAAACCTTCCCTCCAAGGGCTCCCCGCAAAAAGGGTAAGTGAGGGGCATGTTAACCCATTAGCACTAGGAAGGTCCATCCCAGGCCAGCATGGCTTAAGATTGACCAGAGAGAACACGGCACTGCCACTTCCATCTATGGCAAGAGACAATATGAGAGGGACAAGACCACTGGCTTGGGGAATTGTCATCTCAAACACCCTTGGACACAGCACAGCCACCCTTAAAACTGTTTGACACGTGGCACAGATGGATGGAGAGGTGGGATAACAATCCTCAGCACCACCAGTGAAGGTTGCATGGGGTAAAGGGTGCCTGCCACCATCCTTTCCACCTTCAGGGTACAGGCCAGAAGTAGCGCCACAGTTAGAGCCAACATATGCAGCTCAGGTCAAAAAGACAAATGGACTATTAGTGACCCAGAAACAAACTTTATCCTTACCTCAATGTGAGAGTACCAGCATAGGAGTATCCTTTAGCACCCCAATCTCACACATATACTCCAGAGTCACACAGGCTCATACCTGATTTCCAGGGAGTAACTGCTGACCAAAGAACTGGCCAGATCCTTTTGCTGGAACCAAGGATCAGAGAGATGCTAACCTAAGCATAATACAGACATCTCACACAGGAAGCTGATGTAGATCAAGATTTCCTATAATCCTCTGGTCTAGGGTATACCCGTCAGGTAACCCATTTTAGAGCAGATAGCACTCTGGCTCTTTCATCTATATTCTTCTGTGCCAACCTTCTGAAATATCTTTTCAGCAACACCATAGAACATGGGTGCTATCTTGAAGTCTAGTGACATGACTTAAATGTGTCCCCCAAAGTCAGAAACATAATCATCAAGGCAGTGGTGCTGAGAGGTGGGACTGTAAACAAGTGACTGGGTCCCAGGGTGGCCCTATAGATTTTGTTATTGTCATGGGAGTGGTTTCACTATCACAAGAGTGGCTTTGTTATAAAGACACTTTCAGAAGTTGCTCCCCCTCCTCCCTCTCCCTGTTCCCCTTCTCCACTCCCTTCTCCCTCCGGGTCACCCTCTTCTGTGGAATGACACTTGAAGAAGAATGACACTTGGTGCCAAATGCCACCACCTAGATCCTGGACTTCCTGGCTTCCATAATTGTGAGAAATTTTATTTTTTTATGAATTACCTAGTCTGTGACATTGTGCTAAGGTAACACAAAATGGACCAAGACATATAGAACCGTTCAAACACTCTAAAAATGATCTTCTATCTGCTTGCATAAATGACCTAGCTCATGATCCTTTTGCAGGGGATGTGTGCATTTCTCCCACTAGCCCTCATGGGGAAAACATCAGAGCAGTTAATTTCCTTATCCAGCCCTCTAATTCTCTCTCCTACTCTGAGTCTTCTCACCAATTTAGCCTTTCCCTCCCATTTCACCTTTTCTCTGTGAAAGAGCAAAGCTCCATTCTAAGTGTCATTCCATTAAATTTCTAAAGGAGCCGTCCTGCATCCCCAAATCAACTCTGTTCTGGAAGAAGTGTAAACGGCTTATCAACGCATAATGTACTTGGCCAGCAAAATAAAATTCCTCACTGGAAGGTATATTTCCTCATTGTTGTGCTTGGGGGGATCAATTAATGTCAGAAGCCTGACAATTCTCTGAATATATCCTTTAACTACAGATGCTGGTGTGACAATTTCTGACATCTGGGCATTGCTTTCTGCCCACGGCTCGCTCCTCTCACCCTGATTTCCATGACATTCTGATACTTGCTTCCTCGTTCCTTTCTCCTTCTGAGGACAAAGAATGTGATGGGAGTGGATCCTTAGCTGATTAGATACCCTGTGACACGCTGAGACACCGTATGTCATAGTGTGGTTTCTCTCTCTCTCCCTTTGCAATAACAAACTCAAACTTGAAAATTAGCAAAACAATATCCTCACAATTCTGTCCCACATTTCTGTAGGTATAGAATAATTTGGAGGTTGTTTTTTGTTTTGTTTTAGAAATGTTTTGGTTGCTTTTATTGGTTCTTATGAGCAAGGGTATTGCAGTGTAATCCTTAAACTCAATCCTCCTGCCTCAGCCTCCCAAGTGCCAGGATAAAAGGCTTGTGCCACTGAGTTCAACTAATGATTAGGTTCTTAAAGAAAGCCTTCAATCATGTAAGCTTTCAAAAACGACAGCTTTAGAACTAGAGGACAAGATGATCATTGGTGCTTCCTTTCTTTCTTTCTTTCTTTCTTTCTTTCTTTCTTTCTTTCTTTCTTTCTTTCTTTCCTAATAGTACCAAAATGAATTCCATTCTCAAAAGACTCAATAGTGAGATATATTTCAAAAACTGAACTTGAGCCAGGCTTTGTGGCACATATCTATAATCCAAGCACTTTGAAGGCTGAAGCAGGAAGACTACAAGTTAAAACCCAGCCTGGGCAACTTAGTAAGATCCTATCTAAAAATAAAAAATAAAGGCCCAGAAATGTAGCTCAGGGCAGAGGCAGGCTGCTCCAGTGGGTTAAAGGGCTAGAGCCAGCCTGTAGGGATATAAGATCCATTTGTTTTCTTGCAGAGAGAAATGTGTAGAGTCCAAACTGAGGAAATAGCTTTGCGCTAAGTCCCAGGCTCGCGTGGAACTGCCCGTGGTGTTCCTTGGTTCCAAAGGCCCCACTGACTCCAGGCCAACATGCAGGCAGGCCGGAACCCCAGCCTTGGGCCTGCCCCCTCACTTTCTATTTGTGATGCCAGGTGATCCCAGGTACAAAGGTGAGAGCGATGCCCAGAGGGATGATCCAGCATAGCTTGGAGTTGCTTCCTACAGCACAGGAGACCGGCTGTGAGAGGCCCTGGAAACACAAATGAGCCCAAAAACAGCAAGAGGGAAACGCCACTGCAAACAAATGGAGAGAATTTTCTTGTATCCCATGATCTGGGTGAGAAAAAGAAATACTGCTTGTTTAGAGGAATCTGACCTTAAGACTTCATAGAGAAGGAAGGTGCAAGAGGGGTCATCCGTGAAGAAAATGCATTTTTCTTGGATTTTTAATGTCAGTTCTGTAAATGGGTCAAGCCAAGGTGAGTTAAGAGATCAGTAATTTGGTTTTATTTTTCCTCCCACTATTAATCCTACCATTATCTTAGTCCCACTATTCTCAATCCCCAGTTGTAAACATCGTTGCACTTAAGATAAATTTGGAGGAGAGGATGGGGACCTAGGATTATGGTTTTAAAACTTCAAAGCCTTTTCCTTTTAAGCACAAACTGTAATTAACATTTAAAGAACACTCCAGAACAATCCTTCCAAAACCATAAGCAGGAGACACAACACAAAGCAGCAAGAGATGTGCCTGCTGGCAGTCCAAAAAAGATTAGAAGCAAGCCCAAGAAAAATCTCCGCAGTGACAAACGGCCCCAGCGCCTTCACCTTTATGCCCCGGTGACTATGAAATGGCAGTGTTGTAAGACAGAAACACGGTCTGAGCCCCAGGAAAACAGTTCTTTCCTGCTTTTCCTAAATTTATAAACCCAAGAAGGGATCTCAAAAATTTTATCACAGTAGTATTTTTACAAATACAACCTTGACACTGGTGCCTTGGGTGTCAGGTGTAAGGATGCCCAGTATTATCTTGGAATATGATTCTGCTTTGATATTCTATAGCACTCAGGTACCTTGGAGCGCATCTACATAAATCAGCGGAGAAAGGAATTCTATTAACAGTGACAACTGCGTCCTATTCAGTGATTGAAAACTGCAACTATGTTTTCCCATCTGCCCACAGAGATGGAAGTGTCCTCGTGTGCAGTGAGACATCGTGGATTATAGTCCCTGGGCCTATATGCTTATGAGGCTCTTTTTGCATCCAAGCCAACGATGATTTGATTTTTAAATTGGTTTCTGAATTCCTGCCTGTAATGCTGAAAGCCACAGTGTATTTATTCAAGGAGAGCTCTGCAGAGGTGAAGCAGGTGATCCATAGAGACTCCCCCATAACTTTTCCCAAACTGCCATTCATTAAACATGTTCCATCTCATGAACCATGAATCATTTCATTTTTAAGTACTCTTTTATTTCCTTTAAATTTATCTAAAACTTTATTGGATTCAACTGGCACAGTCCTGACAGACAGCCCGCATACATTTTCAACCTTCCCAGCGGAGAAGCATAAAACATTTAAAATCTATATTTGATCTGACAACAGAGCACAGTGTTTGAATTAGAAACAGATTAGACATAATTGAAGATAAAGAGGACGCAAGCACCACTCCCATTCTGGTGAAGTGGGCTTTAAATTATCAGATTCATCCAGAATACATTACCAAGAAACATTGAATTGTTATCTTTAGACAGCCTTTTCTAAGAGTTTACAATTTCTCAGTTCAGTGAAGCTTACCGCCAGCTTGTTATCAGAACAAAAAACGAAAAATCATTCGGTTCAGGGCACAGAACCGATCTCACCTCAAAAAGTACACATTTCCTTCTGATAACAAGCACTTCATTGGACAGCCGAGGGGCCGCTCGGAGCCCAGCCTTTCCAGGCCCTTCCTCTTCCCAGGCGATTCCTGAGCCTGGCTTTGTTTACCAATAGGGCTTCCAGACAGCCCCGCCTCTGTCCCTTAATTACACATCACACGCGCGTGCACACGCACACACATGCACACACACGTCCCACAGCGCTCGCTTCTTGGCTCTACTTCAGTCCTTCTACCTTTCTCATTAATAATGGAGTTGAACACATTATGCAAAGCAAATTTACAAAATTTAATTAGTGAAAGTTAAATGAATTACGTTTGGGTACCACAGCATGCTGTGTTTTTGCTTTTTGGTTTGTTTCCATACCAAAAAATAAAATCAGACTTTGGGATAAAATTTAGGGTTTAATGCAACCAGAAAAATACATTCATTAAGAAGCAAGCTACTGAACATGAACTCAAGCTATTTTCATATATATATATGTCATATATTGTTATACATTATATAATATATACTTACACATTATATATAATAATGTATATTCAAGTTTTCTAATGACAAAAATAAGGAAAAGAAGGCTGGGGGTGTAGTTCAGTGGGCCTAACTAGCATGAGCAAGGCCCTGGGTTCCAGCCCCAGGATTTAAAAAATGTCAACAAGGAGAAAAGAGAGGAGACATTTAATTATTTTGGATTTTTTTAAAGAGAAAAAAATAAAAATAACAATTTCAAAACAGTACCCATAGAAGAGTTACAATAATTAATACCATGTGTATTGTTGTCTTCGTAGTAGTTATTCAGAGAACAAGATGTAGGCGTGATATATTTCTTGTCCAGACAATATTAGCACAAGTCTTGCTTTTCAGTGAACTCAGAGGATCTGGCTGTGTCCTATCTTAACTATCTTGTGCATGGATATGTTTTTTCTTTTCTCCTTCCCCATCCCAGTTGTTCTTTCCTTTCTCTTTGCCCAGCTCACAGTATCTGCGGTACATTTTGGATCTCATTTACTCACTTCAGGTTCTCACGCTACCAGAACAATACGACGTTCACACATGTGCGTCTGATTTATTCCACTTATGAAGATGGTCTCGAGTTGCATCTGCTTACCTATAAAAGTCTTCAGTTTATCCTCCATATCTTGAAACTTGGGGTCCAGCTAGGTTACAGAAAGCTCAAATCTCTATTGTGTGAGCCACATTTTGAACTCTAACTTTCAGTCCAAAAGTTTCCAATGCAGGAAAACAATCATCTTTTACAAACAACCAAAAACACTCTCCATCCCTCTCTCCCTCCCCTCCTCCAATCTCCTCTCTCCTTTTCCTTCTCATAGATTATTGATAGATGATAGATAGATAGAGAGAGAGAGAGAGAGATATCTTCGTTCATGAACGTAATTCACTCCACATTCTGTGGCCACATTCATGTTCCTGTTTGTGTGAGAGTGAGAGTCACAGTCCTCTGTGTCACTCGGTGCAAAATCTGCAGACAAATACAAAATTTTGCCAAACACTTCTGTTTGCAATCCAAACTGTTCACAATTTGACCAACTGCTGCAAATATAATTTATTTTCATTCTACCAAGTGCTGATCAGAAGCAAAGGGTTGCAGAACTCTGCTTTTAAACAAATATTACACTTACCACACCATAGGCATTTAATAAGCATTGCTAGAATTAAAGCTCCACTGACTATCAAGACTTTTTTTTCAGTACGGGGATCAAACCAAGCATCTTGACCACTGAGCTACATCCCCAGTCTTCTTTATTTTGAGACAGAGTGTTAGTAAATTGCCCAGGCTGGCATTGAATTTACTATCCTCCTGCCTCAGCCTCCTGAGTCACTGATATTACAGCCACTCACCCACAGCCAGTGCTGACTTCGCTTGTCCTGTCTCCTAATCATACTTTAATGTACCCCAGCTCTTTCTCTAAAGCACATCCTTTTGTTTTCTGTGTTGCATTGCTTCCTAGTAGCATTTTTAAGTTGGAGAACTCTTGAAGTGTTTTGTGATTTCCAAATAATTCAAATGAAATAATCAAAATTTGAATCGAGGAAGATCTTCAAGACATAAGTATAGGCAGACTTAAGACACAAGGGTGCATGCATACAGGGCAGGGCTGAGCACGTGCATGTTCCCGTACCATGAGGAAAGTCACTTAGGCTGAAAGTCAGAAAGTCTTTATTTTAACCATGCAATTCCCAGAAGGCAGCCTTCTTGACTAGGAGAGAACACAAACTGGGAGCCACGCAGGCCTATGGACAAACACTAACCCTCAGTCTTAACCAATGAGAAAAACAAAGGCCAACTACCGGTCCTGCCTTCCCCCCTACCTGAGGAACAAACCTTCCTGCCGTGCTGTCCAAAGGTTTAAATGACATCACATCATTACAGGAGTTTTGGAGCAAAACCTCTGGCTCCTGGGGTCACAACAGACCAGGAAGGGCCACCTGCCCCATAAGGATGTGCACAGTGGGGAAACACAGGACGGATCTTTAATCAGCATGGCCACACTGTGAAACACAGATGGAGGGCCAACATCGGGATCTGAGGAGCTGACACAAACTTTGGGGTTTTACCGAAACGAGGAACAAAGGGAAGGCTTGGGGTCTGCATCACGGAGGGTTGCATAGCTGACAGCACAGGTAATCCTGGTTAAGTCAGGTCCTGTTGATCAGTATCACAGGACTGATTCTGTGAGGTACTAGCAGGGCCATCTCACCTGAGGGGGTGCTTTGGCTCCCATCATGATTTGGTAGCTACTGCCTTGGGGGTGAGAGCCTCAGTTCCCATCAAGGAAAAATTGCCCCCGCCCCCTGCAAGGAGATCTTGTCATAGGGTGGTCTGTGGGGCTCTGTTTTTCCTGGAATCCAAGGTGGCCGCAGGTATAAGAAAATGACTTGAGACTTCTGTGCATCGCTTCGGGGGTTGAAACTGAACATTGTAAAAGCTAGCAATTAGATGTTCCCGTAAATCCTGAAGATTACTTTACTCACTCTTATCTTGGAGTCCTCAGACTTTGAAGGGGGATGAGATGATTAACATTCCTAGGTGCAGAGCTGAGCAGGGGCCTGGCCAAGAGTTTTAAGCACAAATTTTTCCATTTCACAAGCCATCCAGCTTGTTTCCTTATCACCACACAGGCCCAAGCACTCTTGTCTCCTTCAAGTATTTGCCCTGCCCTTCAAAGCCACACTTCCAGGCAAATGCAGCAATCTGCGAGGGCGGGCTGAGCCTCCGGCCAGTACTCTTCACCTAGGGAATCAGCAAGGCTGTCCCCACACCCAGATTCAGAGCTCCTAGGCCCTGGGAGAGGTTTGTGTCTTTCCTGTCCGGGCACTTCCTCTTGGGAAGCTGAGACTTGAGGCTAAATTATTAAACGTTTGTGGGTCAGATCCCCTGCTTAGCTAATTCTAGGAACACAGCAGCAGCCCAGTGTGGGCGGTGGGGAAAGTCTCACCCACAGGGTGCTTTCTGAGGCTGGACAGGGAAATGCACAGTGAGTGCTGATCCAGATCTCTGGGGACTCCCTCCCCAGTGTCAATCATGCAGAGGCAGAAAATGAAGAGGGCTGGCCAGGTCAGTCTGGGGCTGGAAGTGGACTGGATGCTTGTTCTGAGTGCAGACTGGGTCACCCCATCCCTGGGAAACCTGTGAGGATCAGGCAGAACTCGGGTCTGGTCTGTTACCTGCCTGCCCTCAGGAAAGCTAGAAGTCACGCTTAGCCCAAGGTCCTCAGTGGAGAGTTAGAGTAGCGGTGGCCCCAGGCAGGAGCAGGCACCTGTGTGCTGCAGGACAGCAAAATGACTGATTTGGGGGGTCATGAGGAACACAGGCAGAGCCTGGCATCAAATTGTAGTCAAGTAGAGAGACAAAGTACTGGGGTTTGCTCTCAGAGACACTTGCTTTGGTCACGCTGGGCCCAGATTTGGTCATCCCTGGTGGCATTAAGTACCAAGAGTGCACCTCGAGGGGGACACATTTCGGGAAAGGCCAGCAGCAGCTCATGTTTTGTAAACAAATTGATTATTTCATTTTATTACTCCAAATGGTTACATGGTAGACATGACTACTTGAAGGCTTGGGTTCTATTTGTGACCTGTTTGTGACTTGAAAGTTGCTAAAGTCAAGAGATCATCTGTAGGGGCCGGGGATTTAGCTCAGTGGCACAAACGCTTGCCTTATAAGTAGGCAGTCGTGAGTTCGATCCTCAGTACCAATAAAAAGGAAAAAGACAAAAAAAAAAAAAAAAGAGAGAGAGATCATCTGTAAAAAACAGATAAGAAATCTTTGTTCCTTTTTCCCATCCTCCAAATTAAGCTCTCCATCTAAAGAAATATTAGATAGCTACATCCAGGTAAAGAACTAAAAATAGCCTAGTTCATGTGCTAGAAAACATATCACTTGTTATTTTCGTAGGCATTTCTAATCCCTGGAAATAGAATGCTGTAGTCTTGGGTGTAGCCATTTGAAAATGAAGGTGTACATGTGGGTCATGAAACACAGAACACTTCACAGACCTCAATTTTCACAGCACAAAATCAGACTTATCCATTTTTTTGTACTAACACCTTTTATCAATATAAAAAGAACTAAGTGGAATATTTAGCTTAGAGAAGAGAAATATTAGCGAAGAGAAATTCTAAGCAAAATATTCCACCACAAAAAATCATGTCTTCCCAGAGAGAGAGAAATTATGCCCTTCCCTTTTCTATTAACTCAGTGGATCTATCACTGATTTTACAGTATCTCTGCTTAATTTCAATTTAACACAGATATTACAAGGTCAGATGTGAGTCAATAGCTGCTAAGAACCAAATTCACTTGAAATCAGATCAGATGTAGTATAATTTAATCTACTCCCCGTAGGCCTCCTTAATTTCAACAAAACTCTGTATGGTAATCAAGTTCTGTTGTGTTTACTCCTATATAACACTAAGATTCATTTGAGGTTCATTATGGTTTTTTAATAGATTCTTCTTTGAGCTATTTTTGGATGAGTTTTGTGTAATTGGGCAGGGCTCAGCTTAATTCAACAAGTTAATAAACTGGATGCTGGCTCATTTAATTTTTTGTCTATTGGATTTTTGTTACTGTGGTTTAATTGACATGCAATAAACTTGCACTTACTTAAAATGTGAAATTTAACACATTTTAATATAAATATACTGAAAGAACCATCACTACAAACTGAGGACAAATCCCTCACCCCAAAAGTTTCCTCATACCCCTTTATTGGACTCAAATTTTAGCTAACAAGAATGAAAGAATCTATAACTCTTTACTGTACTCTCTGTCTCAGAAACTGAAATTGCCAAGAAATCTATTTCTGAGCCTTATCTGACTTTTATTTGGGCAAGTGGAATAAATGCATGCAATTTGTTGACAATGAATTCATAAATGAATGCTACAAGAAATTTCTCTTTAAATTGCCTTTTCAAAGAAAACATTTTCATAGTAAACTCTATTTGTCCCAGGAAGTATTAGACTACTTGAAAGATGGAAATTGAAAAGTAAGCAATCATACTTTGAAAGGTCCCTGGTTCTCATTTCTTACGGGTCTCCAAATTCTTCAGAAGCCAAATTTGACCAAAAACAAAGAAACAAACAAAAAAAAAAAACCCAAGCAATTTCTCACATGAGTAGCGGATCCCACCACACCCGTACACACACTACTGGGAGTTAGAAGGGAATTTCCAACCTCGTTTAATTTTTGGAAACCACATTTTATAATTAATTTGTAATTAAATAGCACATAAGAATTGCTTGATAAAAAAATCATGTTCCAGACAAAATAGTGTTAACAGCACTATTAACACTGTGGTTTGTTTAAATGGTGAAGGGAACAGGGAACAGGGAGGAGAGAGGAAAGAAAGAAAAAGTAAGCAAAAAAGAGGAAAGAAGGGAAAATGGAGACAAAGCTTTTATAAATAGGCAGAGAAGGAGGGAGGAAAGGTTGAAGGAAGGGTAGAGGAATGGGGAAAAGGTCCAGGTACAAATTCTCTACGAGGAATGTGATCATCATGTGTACCTAAAATGTACCAATAACATTTGATCAGAAGAAAAAAAAAAGATTTCTCTTTCTATTGTCTCTGCCTCAACTGGATTCCTAGATCCCTAGGGTTGCTGATTACTAACTGTGAGTGCCCCAGGAGAAGGAGTGTTTCCTAAAGTTGGTTTCCTCATCTGTAAGGCTGGTGCCATGAAACAGGGTTTCCATGAGATACTAAGTACTCAGATGCTGTTAACTCCGTCATGGTGTATGTGCCGCTTTTTCTCATCATGCTATGATAGGCTAGAGGTGACAGATAAACACCCACAATGTCAATGTCGCAGACAATCTGGAACAAGTATCCACCATCACCAACTTCTGGTCTGCTTATGAAACTTAGGTGTCTGCCTATGACCAAGTAAACCACTGCCCCCGCTTCTTTTGATTGAAGAAAAGAAGAAACCAACACTCATGTGCCAAAGAGGAGGAAGTTGTACAAGGGGTCTTGCCCACCTTGGGAGGCTTGGTATTGTCCAACCAGGCTGAGACAGATTCCATCCATGTTGGAAGGGACTCCGTGGGGGTCCTGTGTAGACAACCCTAAAAAAACCAGAACAGACTTGTTATGGTTTAAGTCTACTCATCCTCCCAAAGCCTCATGTGGTCATGAGTAAGGCTTTTCAGGGGTGGCTGGATCTAGTGTGTGATGCTGGGATCAAGGGTGTGAGGTTACTAACTTAGTCTACTGATTGGTCTGGCATGCCCTGGTGGAGAGAGCCTCTCTGGGTGTGAATGTATATACTCCTCTCCCTACACAGAGACAGGAAGGGGGCTGCTCTTGCTGTTCACTGCTGCTCGCTCACTGTCACCCACTGCTTTTCTGTCTCCTGCCTGCTTGCGGTGGTCTCTTTCTCCCCAGCAATGCCCCTCTGCATCACACCCTGCCTTAGAGCCAGCTGATTACAGACTGAAACCTCTACAAACTGTGAATCATAATAAACCTTTCCTCTTTTAACTTTGGGTGCTGGGTATTTTGTCTCACAAATGAGAAAAGCAAGTAAGACAAGATTCCCTGTTAAACAACTATCTTGAAATGCTTTTTTGCATTGTACGCTAAAGTCCTAAAAAAAAATCCCCACATTAGATCTGGAGTTTGCCCTGAGGAAATCATCCAAAAAGCGAGACAACAAAGAACGACATAAATAGAAAGGTAACTGCATTTCAGCTACCCCCAGGGACTCAGAGGCAGGTGACCCACAGGCCTCCCTTAGGGAAACACTGGCCTTGGTCTCCCTCACTTTGGTTCCCTCTATCATTCCTAACTGACCGAAAAACATGTTTACATTCCTATCAGTTTGTTAAATCAGAACGTTCTCAGATGGAAACACTGATACGTGATTAATATGTAAACTACTTTCCTTACATGCATTTGATAAGAAATTTTATAACAGTATATGTCATAATTATATTATAGAATGCAATAGTATGTTCCAGTGAGTTACACATGTAATTATATTAAGCAGTAGTTAGGGCAATTATGTCATTTGCTGAATTGTTGTAATTTTATTAAGTATGGAAGTCTGTAATGGATTAAATCCAGAAATGCTAAAATTTTACAGTGACTCTCCTTGAAAAGTATTAAAGATTAGGTTTGTATTGTTCTGCTGAGTCCCAGATAGGGACTACTCACAACAGGTAATTAGATGAAATCTACCTTGTCCAACCTCTGTGATTTTCTTCCATCCCCAGCCCCAACTCCATACTTACCTTCCCTCTGACAGCCCTTGGCCACTCTCACCGGTTTCCCTGAGCCTAACTCCCCCTCTCTGACACTCAGCTCCCACTGCCTTGATCTCCAAGCATTGAGATACTGCCTCATCTCAAAGGCCCAGGCTTGACTTTGATTTACGTTTTATGTGAACTCCTAGCCGGTGAAACATTGCAACTCATGGCCCTTCCTGTGAGCACCAGAGAACTCTCTGGACCTGCAGACTCTCTGGCCCCACTGTTGACTGCTGAGTCCAGACTGACCTTTGAACAAGATCCCAGGTGATTCCCCTGTGCTTGTGCTCATGACAAGCCCCACTCCAAAGCCTAGAGTAGACCAACCTGTTTACCTCCTCGATGAAGAAACCAAGATCCAGAGTGATGAGCTCACTGGCCTAAGGCTCTGCAGCTGGTGCTTATCAGAGTCCTACTGCAAAATAAAGCTTTTACTCCATTATTATTAAGTTTAACTAATAGTTACAGTGAAGCACTACCCTGATCTCTTTTAAAGCATTCAACAAGCCTGCAGTGAGGGTATTAGTGATCCTTCTACAGAAACCAAGATGGACACGTACTCCAGGGTGTAGTTAACAAAGTTTTAATAACAAATATTTCCAACTTCAACATCGGTGCTCCCAAGAACATGCTTTTTATTTCTAAAAGTAAGGCTATGTCAGACTAAAGATTCATTTCTCCTCTTTCAGGGGCTATCCTTCCCTCCCCATTCCTCATCCTGAAGGAGATGTTTTAACTCTTTTGATACCCACCAGCTCTTATTTTCCAAAGCACTGTGCTGTATTTCATTTACCTCCCAAGGCCTCACTGGGCTGAGTCCAGATGTCCCCTGAAGCTCCCATGTGCAGTTTTCTCTCAGTCCCAACTGGACGTGTGGAGACCTCGCACAGAGGTTGAGACCTGCACCTGAAGAAAATGAGAAAATCCCACTCCATCCACCACAGTTATTCAGCTACTACAGCTGAATGTCATACACGAGAGAACTTTCTCACACGCAAGTCTGGAAGCTGAGAACTCCACGGGCAAGGTGCCCGCAGGTCTGGTCGGTGAGCGGGCTCTGCCTCCTGTTTCACAGATGCTTCCTTTGTACAGTTTCCTCACATGGAAAAGCGGGTAAGGAGTCATTCTTGGGGCTCTTTTATAAGAACACTAATGTTATTCATGAAGGCTCCACTCTCAGGAGGCAATTACTTCCAAAAGCTCCGCCTACCAATACCACCATTTTGGGGGATAGGATTTCAATGCATGAAACTTGTGGAAGACATAAACGTGGCAACCATCCCACCTTCTGTGTTGTTCTGGCGATGTCTTCCCCCACTACCTGTCCACATTGCTAGCCTGGGAAGGGGTGGTCTTATTTTCCATCTGTGTACCAGCGTCTTCCACCCCCTTCTTTTTCCATATTTAGTTTTGGTGAAATTATTGGTACTCAAGAGCCAGTAGTTTCCATCTTCTGCCTTTCTTCCATCCCTAAGTGTTCATTATTGTCCCGTTTCTTGATGAACTAAATGCCATTCACGTTCTTCACCTCATATGAAGCAATAATTGAGAACTATCAACTTTGAGTTCATTCATTCCACAGCCCCATAGCTCCTGCTCCTAAGAATCAGAAAAAAAATAAGTTTACCAAATAAAATAAAATGAAATTAAAAATATAGAAACCCTGCACTCTTACACACAATTTTTAGATTCCAAAAGAAAGCTTGAATTCCTGAAAAAAAATCTATGATACTCTGGCTCTTTGACTGTTCTTTGTCTACTATTGACTTCCACCTTCGCATGGGTATTTTACTCTAGGAAAAGTGTTTAATTTGATATAATTATATGTAGCACCATTATCCGAGACAAATGAAGGGAGAAAAATTTAACGGTAGCTAGAGGGGCAAGCAGTGTGGAATGAATGTCTCGTGTTTACACGTGGTAAAGGAGCTGTTCAGGTTCCCCAGGCCTCCTACCAGTCTTACCAAGTCTCCTTCCCAAACCCAAACCATTTTGGTTTTTCCCCATCTTCAAATGCTCTTTGTCACAGTTCAGAAGCAGATCTTACAACATATTTTTAATCATGTATTTTAATCGATCTTATGAGAAATCCTCTGTTATGATGTACATAAAGAATGACCCAATTTTTGAAATACCAAAGTAGATTAAACATGATACAAACAGATCATTACCAATCGTAAAGACACAAAACAGATTGTCTAGTTAAATTTAACACTTCTTTTCTATCTCTAATTTACCTTTGCAAAACAGACATGAGCCTTGGTGACGCTTTCCAGGGTGGGGGTGATGCCACGTGGCAGGAAACTCAGCATTTTTAGTCTTGGCATTTAAGGAGTAATAGCCACCACTCCTCAGACAGCAGCATCCCTCAAAGACATCTGTTCATTCCAATAGAGATTCCCAACAACTTCAGACCTACATGCAGATGTGTCTACGGCTTGGGAGAAATTAGATCTCTCATGGTCAATTCTATTTGTAATCCTGACAACTTTCTTTGAACAGGTCCAAGTCCCCTAGGTGGCCAGTTCCTTCTCACCTGCATGACCCTTGTGACTTCCCATCCTGGCCTTCCGTGGCCTCTGCTCCCACTAGCAATCCTGACAGAGCTTACCGTCTACATAACTGGAGAGGAGAAAGGTCTTTGGTTTTATTGCTTACGTTGATTCTGTCCAAAAGAAGATAAGCAGCTGATAGGACTATAATATGAGAGAAAAGGGAACTCAGCTGTTACACAGCTATTAGCAGAAATGAGTGCCAGCCAAATTGGTCCACTAAATTGTTTTCACTTAATGTTATTAAAATACAATGTGAAATGTCTTAAATGGAAAATGTCCAGACTGGTATGAACTTACCCCACTGGTTTTATAAATACTGCCAGTTAGTGTAACAAGTCTATCACACAGGGAAACAAGACTATTAAAAAAGCAAAAACCAGGTAGGGGTTTCTTAATTCCTTTCCCTCAGCTGCTCCCACATTAATCCATGTAGAAGAAAAACATAAACCTTTCAACACTTCATTTAACTTGGAAAGTTATCTCTATTTAACTCGCCTTTGTTTATTTTATTGACCACTTCTTTTGTGCATTTTATTTCTAATCTTTGACGCTGAAAAGAAATACCTTATATTTCAACAAGCACATACTGGCTGATGACATCACAACAGATTCCATATTATTACATTTAAGCCCCCACAATAGTCCTCTGAGGAAATACCCTTAGATTAACTCACTCATTGCTGAATGGCTGGAAATTTTTCAGCAGACATCAGAATCTCTAATTTCCCCTTCCAAACTCTCAAACTTTTCTATTATACAACGACAATCTTTAAAAATATAGTCCATACTTAAGAGACCATGAATCCTCTTGATTTATGGTTTGGGACCCAGTTGAAGAAGAAAGATACCTCCTATCTCTCAGAGATAATCCCGCTTTCTGAAGCATATGTCACTTATATCCATACAAATCTCCTTTAAGCTTTCATTGAGTAATCAAAACTATAGAGACTTACACTGGGCGGGTAGCTCAGGGATGGAGCACCTGTGAACGTGCATAATGCTCTGGGTTTAATCCCCAGTGCTGCCAAATAAAAAACAGTATTCAAGGGCCACCTCCTGTGCTGTCTGGCTGCCCACAGCTCCCCAGTCAGCACCCAGGGGGCTAAAACCTCCTTTCCCTTTCTCTGCTCAACCTTTTCTTATTTCGTCAACAAATTGTTCAGCTATACTAACATGTAATGTGTGAAAACGCCAGGCTCCAAGTAGGGATGAGCCCGTGAAAACTTGGGAGAAGCTACATTTCAATTATATTAATGAACATGCAAGTGTAATAAAACCTAAAGGATAAGCATTGTGTCAAGTTTTTACAAGAAGTGAATTACATTTCGCATGCATGAAAGCAACTCTTGTAACTTACAGAATACAAGCCTAAAAATAAGCACGTGGGAGAATTATTAAAATACTTATTATTTGAGTTAAATTAGAATTCTACAAGGCTGATTTCATCAAATGATTTGTGTTATTTTAATTTCCTTTCACAATCAGATTCAAATTATTCTACCTACAGGTTCCATGGTTAAGCAGATGCCCCTTAAACGTCAACTTCCATTTTTAAAATAACATTCATCATTAATTTTTCAAAGGTTTGGTATTAGCCTAGAGATCACCTCTAAAATCTTCTCATTTTTTAGATTATCAGGTCCTGCACATAATGTTTTGTAGATTCTGCTCTTAAAGAAAAAAATTCTCTCCAAAGCAAAAGCTTTATCTTTCAAAATGCTTTAGGATTTAACAACTATCCTTGGAGCCGAAAAAGATGATGCCAGACACAGCTAAAATTCAATACTTGTTCTTTAAAGAGTGCTGGGTACAGTGTGGAATCCTGACACTCCGATTCTGCGTGCAATTCTAGGGTCTCAGCACCAAGAAATCACCAGTGGAGCAATAACTGCTTCATGAATTCAGTTTTATCATCCATCCATAAGTAGCTATATTTCTTCAAGTAGCTTTGAACCTTGCAAGCATTAATGGTGACTGATGGCACCCTGCACGGGGTTTCCTGGTGCATTTCCTCTAGCACATCTGTCTGAGCCACATTCCTTCCTAACGGGAAAATAAAACTGAGAAAAGCAATAAAACTGGGATGCTTTAGAGGTGGGTGACTAGTTGGACTTGCCATCTTCTAAAGTCCAACCCACTAGGTGCAAGAGAGCTTTCAAAGTGCTGCATGTTAACTGAATTATTGTAAAGAGAAGCACATTCTGAGTATGAAAGAGGGTCTTTTATTTAGGAGAATATATTGTGAATCAATTTGTGAAGTAGAGAATTCTTTTGGAGAAAAGAGAAACTGATTCATTTAATTTATGTTTCACATGGAAACAGAATGAGTTCATCAAAACCTGTGCGCAACTAAGCCTACGTATAAGCGAAAGTAGGTCATCATGAACATCCATGAACTATAAGAACTAGACCCCGACGGTGATAGAAAGCATGAAGGTTTCTCTCCGAAGGCATCCTCTCCTTACCACCTGCAAAGCTCAAGGAAAGCAGAGCCGTGTCACCACGTTTCCAGAGGCCGCTCTGCTGCTTTTTATTGTCAACGATCCAGACCTTCCCCAGATGCTGCTGTGATGAGGATGATGAAGCACAACGAGACGACTGCCTGGTGGGATTTTGAGAATCATTGCCTTCCCTTTCCTCCTTTCTCTCCTGGCCAGTACCAACCAAACTGGCCAAGATTTATGGTCAGTCCGTGAACGCTTGGTTTCCATTTTCACATCCGGTTCAACATTATGTCATCCTTACTGAGAAAACTGGGAGGAAAAAGTGGAGAGACTTCAGGGTCAAGTCATTTAAATCATTTTCATTTCACCTTTTTTAGCAATATATTAATCACTTTTTCTAAACTTTTCACATTCTATGTACAAC